TGCACTTTCTTTGCTTCTGCCCTGGAATCAGCTGTTTCTCCAAGAAACATTTTAGTAAATTTCCATTTAGTGGAAGATACTATTCAGTATCTAAAATCTGAGTACTCAGTATTTTCATCACTATGGATGTCATTGCTGCTAAAACTTGTCAGCAGGCAAAACTAGGAAATTATCTGTCTTTCTCTCCATCCATCTACTCAAAATTCTCCACTCATAATTCCAATGAAACACCTTTTGATTCTTTTAGCCTCCTTCTTCGCCATGTTTTAAAATCCTACATGTTGTTAACTGTAATCTCTCTCCTAACTTCTTAGGCTGCCTCTTCCATCTGGCATTATGTTCTCCCTCCTACTAACCTTATTTCATTAGTATAAGGAGCGTGCTGCCACCTCTACCAGGCAATCCCATTTTGTTCCCTCAGAATCCCATTTCTTTGGAATTCAGGTCCTTTACTACAGATGATTGCAGTCAGAACCCCCGAGTCCTCTTTGTTCTGCTTTCTCAGAAGCTCGCTTTTCAGTGTTGTAAGAACTAGGGAAGGGTAGGAGAGAAGAGTGGGAGGAAGATAAGAAATAAGATTATGGATATATATTTTGAATACAGAGTTGGATTTGCTGGTAGATTGAATACAGGGAGTGAAGAAGAGAAATAATGATTATAAGCTTTTTGGGCTGAGCGACTGGGAGAACTGCACTGTCATGAGATGGGGAAGAAACAATAGGAGTTTGGTGGAAGTGATCAAGAGCTCAGTTTGAGATGTGGTAAGTTTAAGATGCCTCTTAACCAATCAAGAGGCAGTGTCAGTATTTAGTATGCATCTTGGAGTATGGGCTGGAGATGAATATTTGGGAATGATTGGTATATAAATGCTATTTTAAAGCTGCAAACTCAGTGAGATTGCAAGGGAATAAAATAGAAAACTTTATGCTGAGCCCTAAGACAGTTTCGTGTCAGGGAGAGGAGGAGGAACCATCCAGGTAGGATCAACCAGAGAGATGGGAGGAAACCAAGTAGATGTAATAATTTGGAAACTAAGGGAAGAAAATTCTTCAGTTAGTATGAAAGGATTAAGCTGTACCAAAAGCTGTTGATAGATCAGATAAGATTAGGACTGTGAGTTGCATTTGAATTTAGCAATATAGATGTTGTTGGTGGTATTATTAATTGTGTTTGTGTGTGTGTGTGTGTGTGTGTGTGTGTAGGGGAAAGCAGGTTCAAGAATGAATAGGCAGGAGAAATGACACAGCAAGTGTTGAAAACTCTCTAGAAAGATTCAGTCTATAGATGTAAGGTACAAAGTCCCAGTTGTTCACTTACATGTCTTTCAGCTTTGGTGCTGAGATTTTGCACTCTGGCCTCTTGTGATAGTTGTATGAATAATTCTTCATTATTATTATATGTAGATAATTTTTCACAAATTACTATTTTTTCATTTTTGACGCAGGGTCTCACTCTGTAGTTTAGGCTGGGCTTGAACTCATCATATAGTCCAGGCTGGTCTTGAACTCCTGAGGATCTCTTGCCTCAGCCTCCCAAATACTGAGATTACAGGTTTGAGCCACCACACTGGCTACTATTTTAAATTGGTAAAATGTTTCTATAATTGACCAAGTTAATAATGTACTATATAATAGATTAGAACTATAGTAGAATGGTATAGATCATGAACATGTGTATGGAGAAATAGTCAAAGCACTCTCAATGTCATGGTATTAGAAAGTACTAAAAAAGACTGAGATTTAGAAAACTTTTATTTTGTCTTGTTTTTTTGATTCCAGGGATGGAACTTAGAACTGCGCCACTTGCAAGGCAGGCGCTTATGCCACTGAGCTAAATCCCCACCCTACTCATTTCAGATGCCCATTTTTGAATTGGGTCTTTAAATTTGGAGGGGCGCTAATTTTTTTTTAGTTCTTTATATAGTGTAGATAGTAATCTCCTGTGAGGAACAGCTAGAAAAATTTTTTCCCACACTGTGGGTTGTCTCTTCATTCTGTTGGTTGTTCATTTGCTGTACAAAAAGCTTTTTAATAAGGTTTTAATTTAAAAAGCTTTTTAATAATATTCCAGTTGTTGATTCTTCATGATAGTTTCTGTGTGATTGAGGTTGTGTTCATAAAGTCTTTGCGTACACCAGTGTCTTTAAGGTTTGTAGCTCTCCTGTTTTCCTGCAGATTTAGTGTTTCTGTTTTAATATTTAGATCTTTAATCCATCTTGGTTTTAATTTAGTGCATGGTGAAAGTGTTCAGCATGTGGAAAGCCAGTTTTTCTGGTATTATTTATTAAAGATGCTGTCTTTCTTCCAGTGAAGGTGTTTAGTTCCTTGATCAAAGCTAAGGTGACTGAGTGTGTCTGGAGTTGTTTCCACATCTTCTAATCTGTTCTGTTGATTCTCAAGAGTGTTTTTTAAAAAATTTTTTATTTTTATAATGGTAGCTTTGTAGTATCATTTCAAGTCAGGGATTGTGATGCCCTGTCTTTTTTTTTTTTTTTTTTTTGGTACTGGAAATTGAACTGAGGACCTCGCTTTTGCCAAGCAGGTGTTTGTGCTGCTGAGCTAAACCCCTGGCCCAATGCACCCTGTCTTGCCTTTGTTTCCTAGGATGGTGTGTCAGTCAGGATTTACTAGAGAAACAGATGTAACACAGGATATACAAATGTATAAGAAATTACAAGATTGGCTAACAATGGCCAGCCACAAAGTTGAATGAGGGAGGGTGCAGAGGGTGTCTGCACACTGGAGGCTGAAGGGTCCAGCTCATGGGCTTGAGCTTCCTGCAGTGTTTCGTGCAAGTCTGTATCAGGAGGCTGATGGGGCTGTAGTGCAACACTGAAGAGTCTATGAAAAGGCTGAAGGGTCCCGGGCAGAAGCCAAACAGTTTGTGCCAGAAGCCAGGAGACCATGTCCAAGCAGAAGATGAATTTACCTGGAGCCCCTCTGAAGAACCAGCAATCAGTTCCTTCTCATTTGCCTTTTATTGTATGCAGGGTACTCCCCTGGCTGGGTATTACACTCACACCATGTGCATGCCCTCCTCTTGCATAGGCTGAGGATTTTTACAACTAAGGACCCTGGCCCTCTGCTAAATCACTTGGTTAAACCTTTTCAAATTGACGCAGTGAACAATATCCTAGAATGGTAAAGACTTGTCCTCTATACCCCAGGATGTAGAGCTACTGAGTCACTTAATCTACTAGACTTCTCAAATTGACGCAACGTATAAACCGTAACAGATGATATTTGCTGTTTTAGGTCACTCTGATTCCAAATGAATTTTTAGAATTTTTTTTCTCAAATTCTGTGAGATATGCTGCCAGAATTTGAATGAGATTGCATTAAATCTGAATAATAATTTTGGAGGTTTGGCCATTTTCACTACATTGGTTCTTCTTACCCAAGAACAAGAGAATGGTTTTCAATTTTTCATTTTCTGAAATCCTCTTCACTGTCCTTTTTTGGAGTACTATAGTGTTCAATGTTGAGGTCTTTTACTTCTTTTGTTAGATTGATTACTAGATATTTCATTTTTTTGATGCTATTGTGAAAAAGCTTTGGGAAACTGGTGAAGAAGATAAGAGGGAAAGAAAGAAGAAAGAAATAAAAATAACAGAACACAGCAATGAATAAAACTAGAAACTGTGTTCATACACATATAAAAACAAGAATAAATAATCAGGAAAAAACAACACAAAACCAAGCAAAAAACAAAAAAAGAGAGAAAAAAGAAAATAAAACATGTCCTCTTCAAGGCATGTCCCTGGCATCACTGGTAGACAACATAGGCAGACAGAGTCCAGATCCAAGTTGATTAATCCCAGTAAACCAGCCATAGCTTTCTGGCAGGACAGTGGGTAATCCCAGCAAGTCTTCACTTTTAATTCCATTGATGTTCAGGCTTGCTTCTGACTGCCACAGGAATCAGATTTGCGCAGCCTGCAACAGTCTGTGAGGTTCCTGCTGGCTTGAACTCGGCTCCCTGCCCTCCTGCTGACTTGAACTGGGCAGCCTGATCCTGTCATTGACAGCCGTTAGAGGGAACAGGCCTGCAGCTGTTTTGAGTTTGGGGCTCTGTTAGCCTCTCTCCAAGATGGCTGCCTGCAAATCACCCTCTCTTCAATAAATCACCAGTACTGCAGTCCACTATGTCCACTGCTCCATTTCACTGGTCCATCTCTCCTTGGAGGTGTCTGGGGTCACCAGTCATCACCGTATGTCTGCAAGTTGGAGCTGCCCCTCCCATGCAGTGATCCTGGGCTCCGGGAGAGAGTACCACTTGCCATCTCTTTCTTCATTTGAAGTCTCTCTCTTTGCTCCTGTATTCCCCCCACCCCTGAGCTTTAATTTTTACTTCAAAACCTTCCTGGGTCCCAACTACCCATTTCCCTCCTTCTCTTCCTCATGTTGGTATATTCCAGTGTCTGGGCACCAAATTTCAGAGAGGCTCTTTCTCTGCTGCTCACCACTCTGCAGTCTTCCTGGAGGTCACCTTGTTGATTTCTAAGGAAAACTGCATTAGGAAATTCGAATATAATTCAATTTGTGGAACTGAATTTAAAAGTTTAACTCAATAAGTCCTTTATTTTCTAGATAAAAAATTATTTGTTCTGGCAACGCACGGATGGCAAATAATTGTACACACTACCTGTATATTCTCCATAGTCCTCTCTTCTCATTATTACTAGTAATCGTGTTACTTTTTGTTGCTAAGTCTAGATTTATCATTGGAATTCTTATTAGTGATGTTCCAGAAAGTCACCACCAGTTTTTCCAACATTACATAACAAAAAACCTTTCAAATCTGTAGAAAACAATACGTGTATTAGAAACCATCTTTGAAATGCTTGACATTCTCACTGCCTAACATTCTCACTGCCTGAGATCATCAGTAGTCCTAATGGCCAATTAGAAACCCTGATGGAGCTGGCAAGGGAATATAGTGCTTGTTGTTGTGTCATATCATTGAATTGACAGTTTTTCTCTCTTTTCTTTTGTTTAAAGATTCTACACTCTTTGCTGAACTTGGTTATTTCACAGACACAGATGAACTGCAATTGGATGCAGCAAATGAAACTTACGTAAGTACTTATGAGAGGAAGAATGTGAATGATGTGATGTTTCATGTTTACTCTAGTGATTGCAAGGTTCAGGGCAACAGGTTTAGGGTAGTAATTTAAGTTTTATTAACTTTACTAATTATAAAAGTTAGTCGTTATGTAGTCAGGAAATGTAGCAGCATAGAATTGCATTGGTCTTGGTGTGAGAAAACTTTATATATATATATATGCTAAGCCCATTTTTTGGCCCCATGAATGAGTAACCTTGGAAGAGTCACTAAACAGCTGACTTGCTGGTTTTTGTAGATCTTTGCTGCTTAAGGGAAATGGTATGACATTAAGGGGTATATGTGAGTCATGAAATCATTCAAACAGAACTTATCAATTTTCTTTTTTAAAAGTTATATATGCTTACTGTAGAAAACTAAAAATTAGGTTTATCTTTACTTTTTGCTTTTGATTGGTTAGAATTTTATGTAAAAGCTATTTTTATAATACTGAGTCCTCAAAAATATCTTAGATTTTCTTTTTGGTCATTCCCCCCCCCCCCTTTTTTTGTTAGTATATATGAAGCTGATTGGCTTAAAAAGCTTTGAACTTTGTTTTGTTCTCTAATAGATAAAGTACAGTTTCATATGGGAAGTAAGGTGAGCAATTTATCAAACAGATTAATGATCACTTATTTTTAAAGCTCTTATTAACTTGAGTATAAATATGTATAACCCTGGCTTGAGATTTTCAGATATTCTCAAAGAATGATTTGATAGCTGTTTTACTATGAATCAGTAGAAGATAGTGAAGTACATGTAGTCTTTTAAATTACTGTGTGGGATTTTAATGATTCAATTTACTCTGTGATATGCTTTAGAATATGATCTATGGATTAAATTGACTCTTTTGTAAGTGGCTAGTTTACTAAGCAACTGATATTCTTTAATAACCTCTAGATCCTACAAGAAATCGTGTATTTTTAAAAAACAGTGTTAAAAAACAATGTGTTAAATTTGTTTCAGGGAAATATGGTCTTGATTTAATATCTAACGTTCTGTTACTTTATATGAGTTGTTCAGTGTTTCAGCTCCTTAGTTTTTCAATTATAACATGAAGGGATGTCTGTTTTCATTTTTCCACATGGTGGGAGAATTTCTTATAATACAACCTTGAAGGGATACAGTATATAAGTGCCAGTGTGTTTCACTTTACATAAAATGGACCTGTTAAATTTCCAGCTAGATAAAATCCTTTAGTTGTAAATGTATTTGGCTATTTAGGCTGAGGACTAAGTCAGAAGCATCATTGGAATAGATCACATTCACTGTTGTACATGTTTGAAACTATTGCCAACCTTCAAATAAGCAGTATTGTTAAATTTCCTTAGACTAAGAAAGTAAGGATTTTTTTGGTTGCTGAAAGTACAAAACTTCTACATTTTTTAATGCATAGATTCAAACAGAAAAAGGTTGATTTTTAAAAATGGTTCTTTCATGGTTGAAATGTTTATTTCTGTGTGAACTTATACACATTTTATGTATCTTGTACCTATATTTATTTAAGAGCCATCTGATAAGAAAAGTTTCTCTTTTCTCTGTTACATTCCCACTAAAAAATAAACCATATAATAGATATCTTGAAATGATAATATTGTACTAGAAATTATTAACACATGGTTATTATCAGTTATGAGATGGAGTTTTGATTTTTGGTTATGGCTTACTGTATTATTGCTGTTTTATAATCTGCCACATTAAGTTAGTATGGACTGCCTTTTGACTTTATTGAATTGTTTACTTCTATTCTCGTCTCTGTAATGCCAAATACTTTTCACAGTATTGTTTGAAGCCGGCCATAGTGGCACACACCTATAACTCAGCTGCTCAGGAGCCTAAGCAGAAGGATTGCAAGTTTGAGGCCAACCTGGGCAATTTATCAGAACCTATCTCACAGTAACTCAAAAGGACTGGGGATGTAGCTCAGTAGTAGAGTGCTTACCTAACATGCGTGAGTTCAATCCCTAGCCCACTGTTGGAAAAAAATTGTACTGTTTGGAATTGTTTTGATGGTAAAGCCACATGAAATCTCTGAATCATGTAGTAATCCTTTATATACATAACAGAAGGTGACATTTGATGAGCCAGAATTTTTTTTTTTTGAGGGGGTTGGTTTTGAGAATCTATGTAGATCAGACAGATATGTAGATCAGACTGACCTTGAACTCGATATATAACCCAGGCTGGCCTCTAATGTGGAACCGCTGCTGCAAACGGTGCCATCCTCCTGCCTCAGCCTTCCAAGTGCTGGGATTATAGGCATGCACCACCACATCTGACCAGAACATGTCATTTTCAAATAAAAAAAAAAAAAATAAGACCTAAATGAAAGAAAACAAATGAAGGCCTTTTAAAGGAATTTTATTGATTGATCTTTGAGAAACTTAATTTTATATTTTAGGACTAAAAAATGTCTTTAAAAATTCCTAAAAATTTTAGAAATTTGAGAAAGTATAGCACACTAGAAAAAAAGGAAATTATTCTGTGGTAGTTACCTTTTTATGATGTCTACATTTTTGTTTGGTTGTATCTGTACTTCCTTTGCATATAGAGATGATATTATGCACAGCTGTTTGTTTGGACTTGTTTTCCTTAATGGCAGTGGGAAACCTATTTTGCTGGAGCTCCCTTATGGCAAAAGACACATTTTGTGACTCTTCTATTGGTCTGCTCCCACAGAAAAGAATGAATCCAACTAAATCTTTAGGTATTGACTCTATTACTTCCTTTCTTGTTGTTACTGCTTTGCTTCAAACTACTAAATTAGCTTATTTCTCAGTTCTCCAAGATGTATACTGGAGATGAACCACTTGACAGAGAGAATCCTTTCTACTTGCTTAGGCCTTTGTAATGATATTATTTATGGAAAATTGTGTCTGATAGTTTGATTTTCAAGACGTATATATTTTATCTTAATATACTTTTGCTGATTTGAAATCTGCAGGAAAGTCATATTGATCATCTTGATTTTGATTTGGATTTGATGCCTTGGGAGTCAGACATTTGGAGCATAAACAACCAGTTCTGTACAGGTAATAATGTGCTTCACTACTAAAAGCTTTAATCAGTTCCATTTTATTTTGTAGTTTGGTAGTACTTAATGAGGTGGGGCTATTGGACTGTTTTGGTAGGTTAAAAGATTTCAGGGACTGTATGTCCTATTTGTGGGGCTGGAGATTTAGCTCAGCAGCATAAGTACCTGCCTTGCAAGCAGGCGGTCGTGAGTTCGATCCCTGGTACTGATAAAAAATTAAAAAAAAAAAAAGAAAAGTAACTATATATCCTATTTCTGGTGTACCAAGGTGTAAATACATTTCTTACAATAAGGAATGTAAAAAAATTTATGTTTCAGAAGTATAACAAATGAACAAATCGTATAAGATATAGAAATACTGATGTCAGATTATCAATAATATCTCTATAGGAGACTCACCTATCTGGGGACCCAGCTGGGATTAAAGAGCAAAGGGAGGAGGTTGGGGTTAACAGAATTCAGGAGCTTGCTAGAGGGATTCCATGTGTTTGCTGTGCATGCTTCTGAAGAGGTGACAGAAGTTGATGTAAGTTGGTTGATGTAATATCTTTAAGAGAGCTTGTTGATGAGGATTGGGTGTGCTAGAAGAAGCTGAAACCTGGAGCAAATTACCACTGCTGGGCTAGAGCTCATGGAGGGAAAAAGGAATTCTTTCTCCTGTCTTCTAGCATCCTTTTAGTACTCCCTATTGACAGGACCTATAAGGAAGCCAGCTGGGATATATGGTAATGATTTAATCACAGAGTTGAGAGACAAAGGGTAAATGGTTAGCATACTCCTTCATCTAAGTTCCTCTCTATTCTTTCTTATTCCCCTTCATTTTATGTATTTATCTTGCTCAATCCCTAGTTTCCCTTGAAGAATTTGGGATATACAAGGTCAGTGTCCTGGTTCTTATTTTGTAATAAACTACTATAAATCTGAGTAGCTTTTTTAAAATGCCATTTAATTAGGTTCTCAGAATCTGTGTCAGGAATTTGGATTGAATGCCCCAGGAGTGCCTTGTCCCTGTGCTGTGATATCCAGACCTCAGCTGGAGAAATTTGAAGGCTGAATTAGCGTGACATTTGGGAGCTAAAATCATCTTGAGGTTTCTTTGCTCATACATCTGCCTCTGCAAGATGGTGTCAGAGTAGACTTCAACTATGAGTGTTCTGGCACACAGAGTAGAGGCTGTATATCTATCTTTGGAATTCATGTAGTATTGCTGTCAGTCACACTCTGTTGACTGAAGGAGCCATAAGTTCACCTGAATTCAGGGCAAGAAGGAGTAGACTCCACTTGTTGGGGAAGTGGCAGGGGCACATCATAGAAGATCAAGTGGGATGGTAGAGATTCTGTGGCTTTGGAGAACAGTCTAACACTCTTGCTCAATTTTATCTTTAACTGGTTGGACTATAGTTGCTCATAAATTTATATAGAATAAATTAATAGTTCAAAAGATATGAATGTTTTTGTGATTTTGATTATATAACCAAAAATACTTTACAAAATAATTCTTTCCTGTTTCTTAAATTTAAAAAAATTGTGATGAATCTATAATTTTTTTTTGCATATGATATAATATTTAAAAGGACCAGAAGTTTATGGAGTAGAAAAATGTCTCCTTTTGCTCTTATTACTCAACCAACAAGTTCTCCTAAGAGACAGCAACCACTGCTACCAATTCCTTTTTGTTTAAACCTCCTGAGAATTAGGGCAGATGTCAGCAGTTGTATTACATATATAACTTACAACACAAATGGAAACATACCTGTTTTCTGCATCCTGCATTTTCACTTAATGGTATATTTTAGTGATAGATATTTTCCCATATCTGGTTGAATTTTAACAGTGGATTCTACCTTCTTTGTCATTCACTTTGTTCTGAGTTTACATTGTCCAGTGAGAAGAACCTTTATTCCATGTTTTTCAGTTAAAGATATTAAGGCAGAACCTCAGCCACTTTCTCCAGCTTCCTCAAGTTGTTCGGTCTTGTCTCCTCAGTCAGTGGACTCTTGTTCTTCAACTCAGCATGTTCCTGTAAGTAGCCAGTGTTTTAAAAAGATTTGGGTTATAGTGTTGTCTGAAAAATATGTACATAGAGAGGTAGTCACCTTTCATTAATTGTGGGGGAGGGGGCTACTTTAATGTATCTCTCAAAGAAGCAGAGACTTGAGGGAGGGTCAGGTGGAAGCTAGAAAGTTGTTAGTGTCTTTGGTTTTGACCTCCTTCACCTATGCTCCTGCATCCATAGTTTTTGTTTTTTTATTTTGCCATTATCTAATTTTTTGTTGTTGTTTACTGGCTGATGGTCCCTATGTCTCTCTTCTTCCTATTAGAATATACATTGTTTAAGGACTTGGAAGGATGATTGTTGTTATTTTTTTTTAGACAGGGTCTTGCTTTATAGTGCAGGCTGGCCTTGAACTCACTATGTAGTCAGGCTGGTCTTGAACTCAACTATTCTCCTGCCTCAGCCCACTGAGTGCTGGAACTACAGACGTGTGCCACCGTTCCCTGCTAAGATTGTTAGCTTTTGTAACTCTTTAGCTGATAACCTAGAATGATCTCTTTAGTTCAGAAATGCCTACCGCTATTTTTTTAATGTGTGCTGTGGTCTTTATTAAAGTCTGTTAGCTTGTTAAGAATGCTTCTGCTTTTCGTTAAGACAGAAATCTCTGAGGTCAAGAAAAGGGAGTTCCTGATTTAGGTAACAGAGGGAAAATACAAAAAGAAAGTTCAAGTTAGTATTTCATTATATTCATATCTGCTGTAGATTGAGACATTTTCATTCTGGTAGGCTCTACACTTAGTCTGGTGCTTCTGGCTATTTTAATGTCTCTATCTTTCTTTTTTTGCTCCTGCCAGGCCATCAATATCTGATCTGGATTAAGTCAGTAGGATGTTAACTGTACTAAGGAGCTATCAGAGTTTAGTAAAATCTTAGCCCATCCATCACGGGGAGCAGGTACCTGGATGTAACACATGTTAGTTCTTTTTATTCCCTTGTCTCCATTCCCTCCTTCTCCCTGTATGTTTAGGTCCTCTCCCATTTGCAAAGATCTAGCTCCCTGTTTCCTATTACCTAACATTTACTTTACTCTTCACACTATTTATATTTTGGGTTTCTCATATAAAAGAAATCATGGTGATATTTAATGTAGTGTGTTTTTTTTATTTCACAAAATACTATAGTCTCAAAGTGCACCCATTTTCCTATAAGTAGCTCAAGTTTGTCCTTCATGGCAGAGTAGTACTCCATTGTGCTAATTTATCTTTCTGGTTTTTTTGAGACAGGGTCTTGTTATGTAATTCAGGCTGTTCTTGCACTCAGGCTTTGAACTGAAAGTGATCCTCTTACCTCAGCTCCAGAGTGCTGGGATTATAGACATTTACCCTCATGCCTGGCTTTATATTTGATAAATGATTGTTTTCAGCATTTTTCTACATTCTCATTAGTTTCTTGGACTTTTTTTCCCTATTATTCTTGTTCTTTGATAAAATTTTTAGTGAACTACTGTCTTTTTCCTGTTTATTATACTTTATAGGTGAATATTAAAACATTTTCATAGTCAGAAATTTTTCATTCGGTTCTTATGTGTATGCCAGGTAAGCAACATAGCACCTTTCAGAAAGACTCTTTTGTCTTTTCTATTTTAATATTTGTTCCACATATTTCATTTTCCAGTACAACTGTGTTTCTTAAAATTATAGGAAAAGCAAGTATCTTTCTTATCATGATTTTAGTGGTATTGATTTCAGTGTTTCAACACCAAGATTGACTTCCACTGTGTAAAAATGACACATAGCATCTTAAAGTTAAGAAAGCAGACTTCTAATCATTCTTTACTAGGACTTTTATGATGAATTCTTGCTAACTTTTATCAAATACCTATTAAGTATTTAAAGGCTGTCAAGCTAATTGGCTCCTTCTGTGTTGTCATCATGTATTCTTTGGCTTACTGCAAATAAGCTACTGTGCATTTTCCCAGACTTATGTAACACAGCTCCTGGCCACATGCTGAATAGGTATAAAGCATAGGTGAAGGAAACTGTTCTCTTATCACTGGCATTGAGTGGCCATTTCTCCCATATCACCATCTCTGGGTCATTTTTATTTTTTCTTTTGATGACAAACTTTTAAATTTGGCTTTGGCTGCCATTTGCATTTTCTTTCAGTAAAATGGTTGTTTCTATATTTCATCCATTTTTGGCAAGCATTTTCTTGTGGCATGCATCTTTTAATGTTTGATCCAGTTATCACAGTTAAATATTTTGATTATTTCTGTAAAAAAATCTGTTTTTTCTTTCTTTATGACTTCCAGATGTTTTGATTTAATAGAGCGTACATCATTATAAAAGTAAGAAAGTATTTTTGTAAATTTTCTTTTAGTTAGGGTTTATTTTGGATATGATATGAAGAGTGTGCTTCTCTGTCACGTTCTATCTTTTTTTTTCCTGTGGATTGAAACACTTTTTATCTTAAGTTAAACTTTTATGGAGTAAGACAGATCAACTCAATATGAAAAGACTTGAAAAATATTAAGGTTGCCTTCATATATCTCTGTATTAGCAATTTACACATTAAAGAAAATAGTCCAGTTCCTTTTAGTGTTTGTCTTTTCTTTGAAATATTTGGGCCAAAGATAGTCTTAATAGAGAGGCCAAGGATATAGCTCAGTGGCAGAAGCACCTGCTTGATAAGCATAACGTTGTGAGTTCAAGCCTTCAGTACAAAAAAAAAAAGATAGTGTTAATAGATAGGAATGGATAAAAATAGCATGAATTATTTTGTTTTTAAGATTCTTTTAAGACTAAGTAAAAGATTATGAAGAAACAATATTTGCATTTAACAGTAGTCTTATAATGATACTATATGTTTATATAATTAGGAATCAAATAAGATATATTCTTTATAGGAGGAAATGTGGAAGATGACATAGCCACACTCCACATTTTGAGTTAGTTTTCCTCTGGGATTAGTGGGTAATGTTGATCTATCCATAGTCATGTACTCTAGATTAACATATCACATAGATTATATAATATGTCATATTTTGTCTTGACAATGCCTTGAAATATTTTTCTGTTTACGTATAAGGTTTGTTATGTCTCTTTGTAAGTAATAGGCTGTTCAAATATTATGTTTTTTGTGAACTAATTTATGGTGTTTTTTGTTTTTGCTGTAGGAGGAGTTGGATTTGTGTTCTAGCTCCCAGATGTCTCCTCTTTCTTTGTATGGTGAAAGCTGTAACAGTCCATCCTCAGGAGAGCCACCAAAGGAAGACAAACCCATTATTGGTCCTAGAAACAAAACTGGTATTATTCTGTCTAGTAATTTCTGTGCTTTCTGTTTTAGATGGAGCATAGGTTTCATTTTTTAAAATAGAATGTTAGTTTAAACATATGTTTGTGAAGCTGGTTTACTGTTTTTAAACTAGTGGACCTTTTTTTTTTTCTTGTTATGTGTGATTACCATGGTGAGAAAAGGAGAGAAATAATCTTTGATGGTTTCTGTCTTCATAGGTTAAAAATATTTGAAAATAGCCTTAGATTATCTCATCGTGAGAGATTGCAAAGTTTCAGTTAAAGACACTGAGTATAAAGGCCATTTGACTGTGATGTTTATTACCTCATTAATTGCTAGACTTTTTTCCCATGATTTTAGCTCTTTTTCCTTTACCGTTTCATGTGTCCTCTTCCCAAAACTGCACTTTGATCAAAAAATAATTAAGGAGGTTTCTTAGTTCGTTTGTGTAGAGAAGCTATGCTTAAACTTCAGTTAAAAATAGGTACTCAGAAGTCAAAATAATGCATAAGAAAAGTGTGTAATAGACTGCTTTCTAGTTCCTGGTTAATTGTGTTCAGGCTGATTTTTTTTCGTTCTTTTTGTTTCTTCAGAAAATGGAATGACTCCAAAGAAAAAAATTCTGATGAGTTCAAAACCTTCAATTCAGCCCAAGCCTTTATTACTTCCAGCAGCACCAAAGGCTCAAACAAGCTCCAGCGTTGCAGCAAAAACCATCCTTATTCAGACTCTACCGACACTTATGCCATTGGCAAAGCAACACCCAGTTATCAGTATACAACCTGCACCCGCTAAAGGTACCTGAATAGTATGAGGCTGTTTATGCTTATTTGAAAGGCAGTGGGGCTTGTGTCACATGGGTTGTTTTAACCCAGTTTTTAGTTTCTGTGCATGTGCTGTGTGTCAAGAACTGTCCTTGGTTTCAGAAATGACCAATATGTGATTCTGGTCCTAACAGTGTTAGCTCTCCAGATCAGTTACACCTGATATGGCTTTTTCCTCTAGTTTAAATTATGCCAACACTTGTCTTCAAAAGTTTTACATAACGGTTTTTGGTTTTATAATGAAGAAAATTCTGATGCTGATTTATTCTTAGATTTTTGTGGCTATGAACTGTTCTTTGTTTTTAAGGAATAGCCACTATGGTCCATTTCAGGTCAAATAAATGCGTTTTAGCAATAGAATCCAGCTTGTAACTTTTGAGGAAACCTCATAACATATTTTATCCACTAGATGGCCTCACTTACTTGTTTTTCTACAAGAAATTTAGGTCAGTATTGAAAGAATACTTTGAGGATTTGGCACTCTTTAGATACGGGAATTATTTGCTCATGGAGCTGTCAGCAGCTTAGCCATCATTTTGCTCATACTGACATATATACAGTGAGTACAGTGGCATATGTACAGAGAAAACGTGTATAGCATTTTTTTCCTCTGAATTTAGATTATTGGCACTACTCGCGCTGTATGTTGTAAACACCAATGTACTGTTTGCTTTTATGACTCTGTTTACAGTTGTGAATAGTTAGCTCATTTTGTTGAAGCATGGTTTTAATGAAAGCGTGGTCATAAATTTGATTTTCTTTGTTATCTTTGTTCTGTTACATGGTCATAGAAAATAGGACAGTGATAAAAAGAACTAAATTAAAGAATGGATAGATAAGTGAAAACCCTTTAATCCAAAACAAAACAAATAAAAACAAAAACAGTTTGAAATTCCTGTCCTGTCAGTATAAGTCCAACACTGCTGTCTTTTTCTTATGAAGAACAAAACCCTTGTGACCTGTAGATGGGTGTTAAGTATTGATGACTTTCTTGAAATAAATCGCATGAGTTTGTGTATGTCCATATATGAGTTTTGTTAGGGATAATCTCTAAAACTTTAATTAGGATCTCAATAGAATCTGTGTCTTTCTAAAGATTTTAACTCCTGAGAACTCCTTATCATTCCCACAAACTATTAAAACATACCCATTAAAAATAAAATTCTGGTAGGTATTTTGAAGTTTGCTTTTAGTGACTATTAGCTATGTGTGAATGATACAGAATCTACCTATGGCAAGAAAACAAATTGTTCTTTTCTGAGAATTTATGATTTCCAGAAACCCAAATCACACATTATTGAAAACGTCAGTGTTTTCCGATGAACTGAAGACTATCCTTATTTTTTTTTGAGCATGTGCTAACATGAGACACTGATAGTTGTTTTTACAGTATAATCTAGAGGTGATATTTTTATAATGTACAGATTGAAATGTATGTCTTTCATTTATTTGAAAATGGGATAGGAAGGAAAGGGAAATATGGGCAAGATACTTTACAGTAATCAGTGTCTTTGTGAGTGGTAGTTTACCATGGGAAAAAAGATGTAACTTATAAAAGGTTAAAATTCTGTAGTGTAGAATATGAAACCCCTCACAATTTGGTCCAGTTTAGTTTTCTAATTTTATGTCATAATATCATTCTTTTCTATACCCCCCTTCTTTTAGCTCAGTGAATTGTCCTTTGAATTCTTGTGGTTTTTCTAGTTTCTTGACTCTTCTGGGCTGTTACTGTTCTACCAACCTGGAACATTTTCTACTTATTTTTGCTTCTAAGTCCTATGTGTCCTTTAAGATTGTTATCAGTAGTGCAGGTAGGAGGTAGTATAAGCCTAGAACACCAGTGAAATGGAAGACCAATGGATGGAGAGGAGACGCCTCAAAAGGTATAACACAGGGCTTGCTAACTGGATGGTGTGTAAGGGGATAAAGGATACAAAGGAAGGAGTTCTTTTTAAAAATTCTTTTAAAATTTTTATTTCAAAGAAAAAAACTCAAAATTTCAAAGCAAGATAATAGAGTAACAACAGTGCACTGCGTATTGTTATCTTTAAATTAGTTACTCAGAGTACAAGATACAGACATTTAATTGTCCAAACAATATTAACACAAACCTTTGTTTTCTATGAACTAAAAGAAATTAGTAGTGTAATTATTTATCTTGTATATATGTGTGTGTATGTATAAGTGTGTGTGTATTTTTTTGCTTTTCCCTTTCTTCTTTTCTTCTTTCCCCCTTTCCAGTTTTTCTTTTCTTATTCCCATTTTACAGCATTTATTGTACATTTTGGATCTTATTTACTCTTTCAGCTTCTCTAGGGAAACAATATGATGTTTACATATGTGAATCTGGTTTATTTCACTTTTTTGTATAGTCTCAAGTTGTATCCATTTACTTCTCCAGTTTATCCAGTTTATAGCTGAGTAGTAATCCATTGTATAAAAAAATCACATCTTTTTTATCCATTCCTTGGTTGATAGATAGGTTGTTTCCGAGTTCTAGCTATTATGAATTGTGCTGCTGTAACATAGGTGCATATAAATTGTTTTGGTACAATGGTTTTAATTCTTTTGGAAAAATACCAAGAAGGAGAATATCTGGATCGGATGAGACCTCCAATCTTAGTTTTTTTGAGGAATCTCCACATTGATTTCCACAGTGGTTGTACCAGTTTATACTCCCACCAACAGTGGAGAAGTATTCCTTTTGAGAAGATTTCTGTCTTGGGCTTTTAGATGATAATGTGAATCATTGAAACAGGAAATAAAGGTGAAACAACTCCTAATAAGATGTGGAGCCAAAGTTTGAGCCCAGGTGATTTGGCTAAATCTTTGTAATTAATCATTATCCTGTTTCTAAAAGAATGAACTGTAATCTTGTTCTCAGGAATTCTGAAAAATTCGACCATTTAACTGGGAAGTTAAATTATGTAAATTGTTGCATAACACTCAGTGTAAGAACTAATGAATCATTAGTATATGTAGTGTCCTTATGGAAACTGTTGTCATGCAGAAATATTAATATGTAAACCTGGCGTGGCATTGTACACACCTGTGGATCCCAGCACTCTGGAGCCAGAGGCAGAAGGATCATCATGAGTTTGAGGCCAGCCTGGTTTACATGTGAGTTCAAGGCCAGCCTGAACTACATAGCAAAACTCTGTCTCAAAAAAAAAAAAAAAAAAAAGGTGGCAGATGGTATTTTACGCTCCTATTATGTGTCAGATACTCTTACATGTGTTGTTTTATTTAATCCATATATCTCTGAGAGAATAGGTGTCCGTATTTCCACTTTATAGAGCTAAAACTGAGCGCAAAGAAATTATTTGCTTAAAGTTTCATAGATGTATTCTATTTTAGACAAAGTAAGCATTCAATACGTTTGATACATAGTTTGAAATCTTTGAAGAAAGTCTACAAGAAAAAACTGACCATCAAAACCAGTGAGTCATACATAGTCACAAGTATCCAGCACTGAATCCAGCTGCCTTCTATTAAGGGGATTTGCATGTAATGCCAAAGAGGATTTTGAGTATGTTGAAATGGATAAACAGCCTTTTTGTATGTCTTTTTTATCCTACACTGGGAACAGTAGTAACTATGTTCAGCTGCTAACCACTTGAGGCCCTCAAACAGTCTTTTGCATTGTGTTTTATGGTCTGGTCAGCATTTAGCAAGTCACCACCAGAGCTTTTTGTTCTTGAACTTATGGTAATAGGAATTTAGTTTTCTCTCCATTCTGTCCTGAACTCAAACATGGCTAGAATATTCAGGGGTTCCTTGATTTAAAAGCTGGGTAATTTGAGGATAGTTGGACTTGGAGATGAAAGAGCTTGCTGTGTAGTATGGTAAAAAGGAAGCAGCAGGGACCTGTTTGGACGTGAGCCTCATTTGGTACACAGACTCTTGCCTTGGTGATCCTCCATCACCTCTTCATCTTGAGCTTCTCTGAGCAAAGAGATGGTGTTCACTAGACAGTGGGCAGACTGAATTATTTTTCTATATTAGTTTTAAGAAATACGATAAAGGCATCTACATGGGTTGTCTGCTAATGTTTTAAATTTTTATAAGTGAAGCTAGAATGTGATCAGTTCTTTTTGGGTTTTTTTTTTTTTTTTTTTTTTTGGACAGAGTCTTTTTTTTTTTTTAATCAGTACCGGGGGTCACACTTATGAGCGTGTGTTTGCAAGGCAGGTGCTTATGCGGCTGAGCTAAATCCCTGCCCCAGAGTCTCACTATGTAGCCCAGGTTTCCTCAAACTCACTGTGATCCTCCTGCCTTAGCCTACCAAGTGCTGTGATTACAAATGTGTGCTACCATGCCTGGCCTTACCTTTTCTTTAAAATGACTTAATTCTGCACGTTCACCATCTCCTGTAGTCTTTGGAATATTCTCAGAAATTTGAATAGTATTTATTTTAGGAATAGGGAGGAAAATCTTTTTATTGTAATTTTTAAGTTTAAAGGATAGGAAACATTGGCTTTTATAATGCTCTTATAAAGTATTGGGTTAATTTAGTGGTTTTCAGTCTGTAAGCTCTGGACCCTGAGTATGAATGAGGAGAGTAGTAGCCTGTTGCATTTTGCAAAACACCCTTAAATCCATATTTGTAGCAAGCATTTTCTGTAGAAAAAATACTTTGTTTCATGTATCATTTATACCCATTTTTCAGAGCCCTGTGGCTATTCTTCAGATTAAACTAAAGTTTCTTTTTAAATCATTACTGAGTAGCCTTTCCTTATTACATATTTTCTTAGTCCATAGAGACTGAAAGGGCAAACATGATCATCTTGGGTGACTATGATATTTTTGATATTAAAAAACTCTTACATTCAGGGTTGATAACTCTTTAAGTTTTGGTCTTTTTTTTTTTTTTTTTTTTTGTCTTTTTCCTTTTTATCAGTACTGGGGATCGAACTCACAACTGCCTGCTTGCAAGGCAGGCGCTTATGCCACTGAGCTAAAACCCCAGCCCCTAACTCTTTAAGTTTTAAGTTATGAGGGGTATGTCTTTCATAATACCAAATTGACTGTAATTTCTTACTAGTAAAAAAAAATTAGCACTTGGTCATACTTTATTGACTTTATGTACTAATTCTTTTTATTTACATAGTTAGCCTAAACCTATTTATATCTGCTCATTAACCATTTCCTCATTCTGTATTTTTATTTCATAAAAGAAGTTAGTACAAAGAAAAATGAGAAGGTAGAAATGTTTAGTGATCTTTTGTGCCCAAGTAAATTGTGTATATTCCAGACCTTTGAAGTTAGTTTTGGATCTTTCTTCTTACTTATTAACTTATCTGGAATAAAATGCTAGAATGCTTTTTGAGGTCATCTGAAACAAAGACTTTAATTTCATATAAGTAATCTTTTTAGCCAAGACAGATCTTTCCAGAAAACAGGTGTTCTGAAGGGTTATTTGGATTTTTAGTTTTTCCTTATCTTTAAAATGCCAAGCTAAGTTTGACATGAGTCATGTTAAGCTGTCTGAAAGTATAATGCTTCTTTTGAAAAGAATTATAAGTTTATATGAAATTTTAGTTGCTAGTTACTATTGTATCTTTATTTTACTATATAGGGCCAGGCAACTGTGGATATTAGGGAAAGCTTTTAGCACCTTATAAAATTGATCAGATCTGAAAAGAAACTCGTAGTAGGAAAGTATTTTTAATAGCTCGCCTTTTTGAGTTGTGTAAGTCGTTAGGTTATTGATGTTAAGTCTTTTCAGATAAGTGTAAGTTAAAAATAATCATAACTATAAATACTAATAAAAGACTAGACTGTTTCTTGATGGGGGTTATCTACTGCATAATTTAACTTACATATTTATGTTTACTGTGCTTTTTAGCTAAGAATTCATTCCAAATGATTTTAAGACTTTTGGTATTTGTAGTTCCTAATTCTTCAAATATTGAGTTGCTGATTGTTCACGTATTTTTGGTATTGTGTGTTTGTAACTTGTATTAATTTAAAATATATATTTTTTCTCATGTGGAATCTTAAAAAGGATGACATTGGAAAGTAGCAAAGAGATTAATAGGGAAGGGAAAAGCATTGGGAGGAAGAGAGGGAAGGGCAGATACAGTATCAGGGAGGGCTGATTTGAGCAAAATACAATATGTGTATGTATGGAAGTGACACAGACCTATTAATCTGTATAATTAATATGAATTAGCAGTAAATTATAAAAATAAAATAGCCTTGCTGTAACCTAAGAAAATATACATATATATGTATATATACAGGGATTTCTGTGTGTAGTATGAAAGATTTGTTATCTGTAATGGCAAAATCCTTTTAGCACTAATAAATTTCAGAGGCTAATATTTAGGAAATATATATATATAACAGCAAATTTGCTATGTGTGTTGTTGAGAAATATAAATATGGAAATATATTTTTTGTTACTGTTTGTTGAGAGTTTGTCTCACTGTGTTGTGCAGGCTGGCCTTAAACCCCTGGACTGAAATGACTTCACTGTCTCAGCTTTCCTAGTGCTGGATCTCCAGGCATATGCTATTGAACCCAATTGGGAAACAGGTTGCTATTGATAATTCAGAGGGAACAAACTTAGTTGGTCCCATTACAAAACAAAGCAGCAGAGTCAGCTTGGGTGTGTGCTGCTGTGGTCGTGTTTTCCTTAAGGATATAAAATCCTTTAGTTTTGATCTTACCTTGTTATAGCTGCACAAGAGACTTACATGTTAAACTGCTTCCCCTGCTATAATGGTTATGCACTCTCTGATTACTTTTCTTTTTTCTAATGCAGGTCAGACCATTTTGCTCTCTCAGCCTACTGTCGTACAACTTCAGGCTCCTGGAGTTCTGCCCTCTGCTCAGCCTGTCCTTGCCGTCCCTGGGGGAACCACACAGCTGCCTAATCATGTGGTAAATGTGGTGCCAGCCCCTGTGGTGAGCAGCCCAGTGAATGGAAAACTTTCTGTGACTAAACCTATCCTACAAAGTACCACGAGAAGTGTGGGTTCAGATGTAAGTTTGAAATGCAGTGCTTTTTTAATGCCTCACTTCAAAAAAACAAAAACCACCTTTTGCATTTGTTGCCCTGTTCTTTTTTTTTAAAGTTTATCATATGGTGTGAAACAAGAGTGTGTTGAAATTGCACATTCAGTAATTGGTGGGAAATTAGGGTAAAACTAATGGTGTCAGAATCTAAAGTTTTTTTAAAGTCTGTAATGGCTTCCTGAGCAATGAAGTATGCAAATTTCCCTTCTGTTAACTTCTTCTCTAGAACCTTCTCCTCACAGTCCACGTTCACCCTCTCTGCCCGATCATCCACTGATATTTTACAGATTCTTTCATATTTCCTGATTGAAAATGCTTTTCACAAGAATTCACAAGATAAGAGTCTAAGGCAGTTTTATATTTAGCTTCTGTCTTGAATTTTTGATGACTTGCTACTCTGAAGAATTCTGCCTCTTCATAATTACTTGGAACGTTCTCATCTTTGTGAACGTTCAAATTTCTAGCATGTTGTAGGGATTTCTCATAACTTACAAATCTTCTAAGATTAGTCTTTTCCTAAGCCTGTTTGTAACATTTGGCAGCTAACTCTCGCTGTTTTTCAAAGTAATTAGAAATAGCTCATGTGGTTATTTATTCAATGGTAATTAAACATCAAGGTCCTAAAATTTAGTCAAAGTTAAGTAAAACAATGACTGTAACAGTAGATGGTTTAAAATTATGATCAAGAAAACACAGCCTATATATTTTTTTAAAAAATAAAATGGATATTACTTGTTGGTATTGGTATTCCTCCCTTTCCTTAGATAAATTACGTTAAAAATATTTCTCAAATCTAAAAAAAATTTTTTTCCAAATCTAGTGAGTTATAGAAGGTTGCTTCTAAGACTACTGTCTGGTCTGCCTACCAGAATTTATTAACCAGCATGTCAGTGACCCATGTATTGTGAAATTGCTCTACTGTTCCATAAATGCAACCAGGAATCTTAGTTGGCTATATTGTAGGAACTCAAAAAAAAAAAAAAAAAAAAAAAAAAAAGAAAAAAGAAAAAAAATATTGCTAAGTGAGACTAGAGCATACAAGTTCTAACATAAGAGATCTATAATTTATGTAGGCATTGCAAACAATGTATGTCAAGACATATTAGTACAAGAATTAGGGTTGAGTATTTTATTATACTATTTAAAGGGCTAGAATGAATAAGCACAATACTTGTGACATAGGCACTTGTGTTAGTAGGCACTAACACAGTATGTGTTTCAGAAGGTTATTTATTTATTATTTTAAAGAGGGTAAAATTGAACACAACAGAACAAACAGAACATAAGAAAGCAATGTAAGAGACATAAATTTCAAAGCAAGACGATCAGAGATCTTCACTATCTATCATATTATCTGTTTTCTTCCAAATAGTTAACCAGTTTTCACCTTCAGAGAATTCACATGAAACAACATAGTGTAGAACTGATCTGAACAAGATGAGGAAGGCCTTTTAGGTCTTCAAGATCAGACATGCTCTAAAGGCACAAAGTGAAGACAGGACAGGAGAGCAAGATTAGAAAAATGTTGATAGGAATGGGAGTTGAGTATATAATATTCTCCTTTTGCTGCATGAGCAAATTCTTAAACAATAAGTGCAATAAGGATGATAACAATATTGCATGATATTTTCAATTAAGTTGTACAACCAACAAGAAAAGAATATGCTTTATACAGAAGACTGAGAAAGTCAATATGATAAAAAAGAGGATTTAAAAAGAAATTTAATAGATTCCTTAAAATTTCTATTGAATACTCCTTAAATTACAAACCTGAAGGTTTCTTATGTAATGTTCCCAATAAAACAATAAAAAAATACTCTCAGTTGCTTTTTTGTATTATGTTAGGACATATTTAAATATTTTTCATAAAATACTTCAGATATGAAAATGATAAAAGCCTAATAACCTTTTAAAATATATGGGTCAGTGGTATGCCAGTGGTATGCCAGAGTTGTTAAAATTAGTGATGTAATCTAGGTCATACAATTATAATATCCCAGTCATGGGGAAACTCAGGGACCTAGACAGGATCGAGAGGGTGTCTATAAACCATGTCATAGGTAGAAGAAAGATTTAAAGGTTGGAATGAAGACAAGACTGAAAGTAGTCCTGGGAGCCAGCACCTGGGAAATGGAAGTAGTCATATGGAAAATAGGGGAATTATTCTGAGTTATTCTGGAGGACTTATCTGAGTGAGTCTATAGGTTAAAATATAGAAAGGTACTGTCTAATCTTTTTTTTTTTTTTTGTCTTTTTCATTTTTATCAGTACTGGGGATTGAACTCACGACCGCCTGCTTGCAAGGCAGGTGCTTATGCTGCTGAGCTAAACCCCCAGCCCCTGGTACTGTCTAATTTTAAGGGTTTTTTTTTAAGGTAGCCATTTCATTTTAGACTAGAAGAAGTCAGTATCTGAATAATGAGCACCTGAACATTGGTGATCACTGGATGCCACTGACCAATGTTATAATTTTGAAGCATATTTCAGTTAATTAGATGTTGGTCAATTAGCCAGACATCTTTTATTGGTTCTTTGATGTGAGAAACCATGTTTCTTATGCTTTTACATTCTTAAGAGGGCTCTGAAAATTTGTTGAGTAATTTACCAATAAAGTTTCAGTTAAGACTGAAGATTGAAGGATGAAGGATTGAAGGATGAAAAACTATAGTACTGATAAATATTAGCTTTTTTGTTTTTTTTTTTTTTTTTCTTTTTTCCGACTTTTTCATTTTTATCGGTACCGGGGATCGAACTCACAACCGCCTGCTTGCAAGGCAGGTGCTTATGCCGCTGAGCTAAATCCCCAGCCCCTAGCTTTTGGTTTTTGCATTACTTATTCTAGAATTCTTATTATGTTTTAAAACTTAGAGTTGACAGTATTATAAAAGATTCAAGGGCTTTGTGTTTAGTACAAGAGACTTAAAAACTATTAGAATAATTTTCTAGTCAACCTGCATTGAGGTTTTTGTTCTTATTTTTACTTGGCCAGCGTATTAGAAAGTGAGCCAAGTCTTGTAGTGTGAGTTTTTTGGAAGAGGTTGTGATTGAATATTTGTTTCAACTAATGAAGTGTTAGTCTGTCCTATCAGCTGGCCAGCACAAAGTAATCCAGGAACCAAAGTAAATCTGTTCCAGAGGAGCTGTAAAAGAGAACTTTGATCTACTTATACAGTCTTCTGTGTTAGTAACTTGGTGGACCTTAACAGTGTATGTTTGCTAGTTTTAAGTCTTGTTAAATTATGATAAATTTGAATTAGTATAAATTTCTAATTCAAATGGTCAAAAAATTTTTATCATGTGCTTTTTGTGCTTTTAAGCCAAAAGTGTGGTGAAAAAGTTACAGTTCAGCAAAAATATTATATCAGTCTATTGTGGTTTTATGATGCTGACATGGCTATTTTTTTTCTACCCTTTTTTCAAGTCTTCTGTTTGGCTAGTCGCTCTCTCTTGAGGTCTGCTACTGCCATAAGTGGCGTTTTTAGCATACCATATTCCATAAACTGCATTAAGTGCCACATTTTTGTTATGAAACAGTTTGCCTGGTTCAAATTATAATCTTACTCTTCCTGCCTTTTGCTGGTAAATCTGTTTTGTTTAACTCTTGGAAATCTTATCTACGTTTTCAAGAAGTATGGCTTGCTTTTGGCTCTGATCCCACTGGAAAAAAATCCCTCTTATTTCAGTGTAGAAATTCTTTGTACCCTTTGTTAATAAATGGAAGTCTCAGAACTACAAGGTGGACTTCATAAGACAGCCTGCTTAGCTGTCTTTAAAGGGTAATTGAATGTTGTCACACGTCAAGCCACGGGCTGGAGAACAAGCAGTCTGTTTAAGTCTGCACTGCACTTAACTACTTCTGCCTACCCATCATAGTATGCAAGTTTATGAAATGTTACTGTCCAGGTTTTAGGGTTATAGAATTACACGATTTGTGTTACTGGGATAAAGGGCCAGGAAAGAAATGAAATTATATTCTTCAGTGGGCCAAGGGCCAACAAGAGGCTCAGAATGGAAGGAAAATGATCATAAATGGTACAGAATTAGAGGTAACCTCAGATAGGAGAAAGCTGGGGATATAGCTCAGCAGCATAAACACCTGCCGTGCAAGCACAAGGTCCTGAGTTTGATTCCTCATACCCCCCACCCCCCAAAAAAAACCTCAGATAGGAGTCTGATTAAGAGGTGCTGACTGTACTTCCAGGAGGTTCCTAGGTATTTTTTGCTGCCTGCCATTCATTCCAGTGAACATTTTTCAAACTCTTCTTTGCTGTATACCTTTTCATACGCTTTTGGTTATAGGCCTTGACTTTCTCCATCTCTGGGGGACTAGCTTTTGGTTATAGGCCTTGACTTTCTCCATCTCTGGGGGACTAGCTTTTGGTTATAGGCCTTGACTTTCTCCATCTCTGGGGGACTAGCTTTTGGTTATAGGCCTTGACTTTCTCCATCTCTGGGGGACTACTCTTTGGAAGTCTCTGCCTAGGGTCCCTAGAGCTATCATGAAAAGAGGTGCTGGGGAAGAAGGGAAGGAATTCCTTTGCTTGGGCTGCCAGGTGTTAGAGATAGTGTGAGGAGCATTCTCCTGGTATGCAAATTGGAACTTTATGTTTATATTCCCTAGAAATGGTATTAAAGAGTAAGTTAGAGATTTCACTTGTTAGTATCATTAGCATAGGTGTGATGTACATAGCATGCCTTTGGGGTTGTTTTTCCCCTTTGGTAGAGAAATACGAACTTGGAGAATCGCAAACAGGAAGCAAGCCGTCTGATCAGCCAGAGGGAAACTTCTTCATCCTCCAAAGTTGCTTGCTGGAAATGGCCTGGGTAAAGAGTGGTCAGGCCTTTATATTCTTGGCTTACTGAATGAAACTTGTAGGAGCAAGAGATTCCCTAGTGGTATGTCTTTCAAAAAAAAGTCTATGCTGGGCATGATGGTGCACACCTGTAATTGTAGTACTGGAGAGACT